GTTCGATAAACAGTAGTTTGAACATTTGTGGAATAAACCATTCTGTACCAAATAAGAATGTACAAAATGATTAACAAGCTTTTTAACAAAAACATGCCCATGAGACACCTTTAAAAATATTGTACATATGTACATTTTACAATTTGTAACATTAGTATACATTAAATGTAGTACAAAGTAATTACCATGATGTATAATTGTTAAAAATGAAAATATTGAGAATATTGTTTTCATTAATATAATTAGAATTATTATTGTCATAAAAATAATGCCAAAGAAAATGTATTCTAAAAATAGGCTTCATTCTTTTTTTTTACTTTTCATGGGATTTTGGGATGAAATAAGTCTTCTCGACAAAGTTTGTGACTTTTACCTAATTTTATCTTAGATCATATGTATAATATTTTTCTTTTGAGTGTCCTCTCTTCACGTGGATTTGATAAGATTTCTTTAATAAAATCATATTGCAGTGTTCCAGGGATCTATCAAAGCTCTGCATTGTGAATGTGAATGTGTGGGCCACTGCCAAACCGTTCTCAGAGATAGCAGTCCACACCCAAGTCCTTTCCCACAATTCTCCCCTTACTCACACCCGACTTGGCCAAACAGAGATATGCCAGAGCCATCAGCTCTCCTCACCCGCTGCATTCATATCTTTTGCTTCTCATACAGTGGCAATGCAGCAAGTATGATTTCCATATCATACTATATCATCTCATCTGTTCAGTTCATAATTTCCAACCTGAATTTGCTTACAAAAAGAGTGGCCTTGGGTGGAAGAGTTTGCAGAGGTTACGTGTAATTGGTAATGAAGACGCAAGAAAAAACAATACAGTGATAAGTCTATGGCTTTATCAGACAGCTTTGTATATCTTATCACAGCGGGGTGTATCTTTTAGTACATGCTGAGTGATCTTCTGTCTGCTTGTGCGCATAGTATCACATGCATTTAAAAACATTGTGACCGTCACACGTGTTTGACAAAAAATCCACCCAGAGAGCGGATAACATTGTATAATATCCCTGACTGTATGTCCAGTCCTCTCAGGACATTGTGAACCTTCTGTCAAACATAGTTGAACTTGGCCACAGCACTTTGGCAGGAAAGTTACCATTTTGCAGGGTGAAATAAGACCTAGGCCTAATGTTAGTCGCTTGCCAGTTTGGTCAGTAAGCCAAGAACTTGTTTGCTAACTGGTCCAGCGTGTTTGTGCTAGAACAATACCTTAAATTGTTGTGAAGAATGGCGAAAGAAAATGTTTCTATAGGTTAAAGTGAGCAGCGTGTCAAAACAACGAAGCAGTACACATGCACCACAAGCACTCAGGGTTGTTTGTGGTAATGATCTTACGGTGCTATATCCTCTGTATTTTCATCTAGAGCCAAATGCGCTTCATTCAAGCCCATTCCGTTCTGTTGCTTCTCTAAGAAGCAACTAAAGCATCTAAAGATGTAAAGTGCTACAAGAGCTACAGATGCTGTGGTTATTTTAACAACAGCAGCAGAAACACAGTGAGCAGAAAAATAGATTAATACAATTATTTTTATCTGTCATACATGTATGACTCTTGACTGTTTAAATAAACCAGGTTTGTGACAAGACATTTTTTTCATCGCCATTTAGCATTGTAATGAGCATTTAATAATAAACAATGTTATCACTGGGAGAATTATTGGTAGATGGCAAGGAAATGCAAAAGATTGAGACACTTCTATTTTTGCTCCCAAATAATATATTTTTTTTATAATTTTAAAATGTTAAATGTTTAAAATGTCTTTGGAAGCAGTAATGACAGTGGGCGGGTTTTTTTTGCATTTCATCTAAGCATCCTCTTGATTGAGCACCTACTTAATTAAAGGCACAATATGTAAGATTTTTTTATTCAAATATCCAAAAACCACTAGAACAGTGTTATATATTTTGCTGACTTGTGTACTTACATTATCCCAAATGTTTCGAAGAATGTTTAAATCCAGAGAAATAAGCAATTTTAACTAGTGACACGGACCGTTTCCATAGTGTCATTGTGTCGCCTGCCAATGACGTCATAACCCCTCGATTTCCGGTTTTGTTTTGTAGAAAACATGGAAACACTAAAGACGCTTTAATATGTTGTGCGTTTTAATAGATCGGTGACGACCGCACAGTGTAGCATTATAACAGAACGCTGCTTTTTTTCCCCCACATACGCACGACCGGAAGGAGCGGAAGCGGTCGACTGTGGCATAATAAAAGCTCCGCTGCTTTCGAGCCGTGTGTCGCACTCGTTCAGCGGCCTAGTTTCACTTTGATGGCTTCCAGCCTCACCCTGCTTCATTCTACTACGTTAATAAAAAAATTACATACTGTGCCTTTAAGTGAATGATGTACATTCTACTTTGAATAGATGGCAAGGAAAGAAAGCTTTGAAATTACTGGTTAACTTTGAGGCATGCTCACGATGAAAGCATTTTAATTATTATGTACATTGTTTGTTTTTAGTAAATACTTAAAGGGGTCCTATTATGCTCTTTTACAAAGTCTTGATTTTGTTTTGGGGGCGTACTAGATTTGTAATGATATTCCAATGAGCCACTTTGTGATATCACAAAGCCCGGAAACCAAACGCTGTAGAAAAATATCTAAAAAACGAAATATCTCCCTTTGGAGTGGACTTTGAGATTTGTAACTTTCTAGATCTTTTTAATGCCCAAACATACACACTACACACTGACTAAAATTAAAAAAGTGAAAAAGCATAATAGGACCCCTTTAAGCAAAATATAAAAATGGTCCAGACTTAAAGAGGAAAACCCTGAACTCCCATACAGTATCTTTTCTGTCACATGGCCTTCTGCCGTACATATTTTTACATTTAGATACCATACTGCTCTATAGTGAGCAGTAAGTCTTTTAGCTGACGCTTTTATCCAAAGTGACTTATAGTACACTTATTACAGAGACAGTCTTTCTGGGGCAGTCTGGGGTTAAGTGCTTTGATCAAGGGTACACTTAGTAATAGTTCATGGCTCTGATTACCAGGCCTGTGCTTTAATCACTTTGCCACACACTGTCCACAAACAGAGCTCTTCATTTGCAGCCTTGTGTTCAGCAAGAGGGATTAAACTCTTAGCGTAACATATGGCCTCTGCTGGCTAAGCCTATGCTAATCAGAGCTTAGATGGGTCTTGCCTTTGCATAGTCACCTGTTAGAAGAGTTCTTTCTTTCATTAATGGCTACAGTCAGGCACATTTTTCTTTGGGGGATAGTAATGAAGATATCTTTGCTATTGTCAGCTGTATCTGTGACCTGTGGTTAGCCCCCAGCTAGTGTTTTCTGAAGAGCGGGTATTGTTAATCGTGTCGAGCACATTCAGTGACCCTAGTCCTATCCCCTTCACTCCGCACTGCTATCGGATTTCCCAGAAGAGCAGGCCTCCCAGGAAGTATGTAGCCTGTACACTGCAGCTTTGTACTGCTGTCTTTGGTATTGGCAGTGTTGGACATATCAACACATGATACAGTGTTGGTCTGTATCAGTGATTGGGGTACTTGTAATAATTTTGAGTTAGCTTTTTTTAAACAGGTCAATGTAAAGATTATAATAACTAATCGTGATTAATCTCATAAATAGTGTATCATGTTTACTGTTTTGGTTATATTAATTTTAAAGAAATAATATATTATTATTATTATTATTATACTTGAGCATTATTGATGGCACTGTGGAGATGCATAAGACAAAACATTGGGTTATATCAACTCTAATATAATATATAAATGATTATATTATGTAAATATGTAATTGTATATAATTAATAATAACAACAGCAGCAGCAGCATTCATTGTTATTATTATTATTATTATCATTGTTGTTTGTTTGTTTTAGTGTGTCATGTTTAGTGGTTTTATTTAATTATATATAATGATATTAATTATAAACAAATATTGAATATATTGTTATTGTTGTTGTTGTTATTATTATTATTATTATTATTATTATTATATTTGAACTTTATTGATAGGGCTGTGAGGATGCATAAGACAAAACATTGGCCTAAATCAGCTGTATATATATATGTTGTTAATAATAATAATAAGCAGTAGTAGTTTATTATTTATTATTATTGTTATTATTATTATTAATAATAATATTATTGGTGTTTGTTTTACCGAAGCATGTTTTGTTTTTGATGATGAAGGGGTACTTACAGCTTTATTGATGGGACATGAGACAAAAGACTGGACTGTACAGTATAAACAAAACTATATTATATCATAATTTTAATATAATTTTATAATAAACTTGAACAAACTTCCTTCCATATTTGTTTTCATACTTTGCCAGTTCCTGTATGTTTAGTTTGACTCATCCATAAATCAATATGTGCATGTGTACAGCAGGTAGATGTTTGGTTTCTTATCTGTTTGTATAATTTCAGCCATATATTACAGACTGGTTTGCTAAAGAAGGAAGTACACAGATGACAGGTCAGTATAGTTACTTCTACTTTTCTGTTTGACGTACTGAGTCCTCTTTAAAATGGTAAACAAGTTATTTCTCTCGTTTAATAGATTTCTTTGTAGATTTTATTTAGCAAGTGTTGCTCAGAATATTGTGGAAGCTTAAATGTTTCAGGAAGCAGGTGACTTGTTCATGTATCGATTGGGGTGGGTGGCTTTACTTTGGAAGTTAAGTTATGATTTTCTCATGCACATATGTAACGTGAAATAATTTATTCTGAATTTGTTTTTGGTGTGTGGTGAAGGTTTGATTTGAACCTTTTGCAGTGAAGGAAGGGAATTAGGATTGTTGCAGACTTTAATTGGCTTTGTACAAAATTCTTAGCTGTAGTTTACGTTTGAAAGATACATCTTATTATGATTGACAAGAAATTGATATGTATTTGATATCTTGAAATGTTCTCGTTATTTATATATTTTGCTTTGTGTGTGTAAGATACACCAGTGCATCAGCTTTTATCATAATTTCCTTCCTTGTTTATTGTCTCTTTATAGGAATCAAAGAATGAGCTGCGTCCACGTCTCTGTCACATGAAGAAGGGTGCCACCGGATATGGCTTTAACCTGCACACAGAGAAGTCAAAACCTGGCCAGTACATCAGGGCGGTGGATGAGGACTCCCCAGCAGAGAAATCTGGACTTCGGCCCCAAGATAAAATAGTGCAGGTATAATACACCATATTTAATCAGTGGTTTAAACAACTTTGTGTGTGTACTTCAGGAATGTATGGTAATAAGCTTTTGTGTTGATGTTCAGATAGTGCCTCTCTCTTTCTCTCTGTCTCTTTCTGTATATATCACTGTAATTCAAGGCCTCTCCGTGAAAATGTCAGTATGATTTTGATTTGAAAGAAATTAACAATTGTATTTCTGTCATGACAACTCTCGGAGGGATTGGCATGGTAATGTACATGACAATGTTAATGTATTTCGTCTTGGCGGTATAGATCTGCTACTCTGCTGCTGCGGCAGATTAAGTACCGAGATTTGCTACTGCAAATACATCCACAACATGCTGCTGTGAGCATGTAAGAAATATTGCTGCTGCAGATATAACATACATAAAATAAGCCCCATATAGCATACATGAATCACCTCGTAGCAGATCTATACAGGTGGAGCTGGGGAAGGTGGAGGGTTTCTGAAGCAAGCTGCAACTGCTACGGCAAGCACTAGTCATATATTTGAATGTTGAGCAGCGAGCTCATTGGCTACCGATACAGGAGAGAACCAATCAGCTGTGCCATGTGATAATGATGTCATTAGGTCAGATTGAGTTAGACCTATCGTACTGCGCCATCTAGACTTTCATGCCAGAACTCTGTATTTAGCAAGAATGTATTAAATTGATCAAAAGTTAAAGTTTAAATACATTTTAAATAAATGCTGTTATTTTGAACTTTCTATTCATCAAAGAATCCAGGAAAAAAATGTTTTATCATGGTTACCCGCAAAATCAAGTAGAACAACGGTTTTCAACATTGCTAATAATGAGAAATGTCAAAGAACTGAAAATTGAGCTTTCCAATCGCCCATAAATTTTATTTTAAATTTGAAAACTACTATTTTAAATTGTAAAAATATTTTACAGTATTGCTGCTTTAACAGTATTTTGGATCAAATAAATGCAGCCATGATGAACATAAGACACTTCTTTCAAAAACAAAAAAATCTTACTGACCCAAACATTTCAACAGTTGGGTACATTTATATTATAAATTACTTTTGGCCATTTTGACTTCCCTTGACAGCCCATTCAGTTGATTGTAAAAAATTTTTGCTTTCAGGTTTTTTTTTTTTTCAGTGAATTCCACATAAATACTGTGTAACATAATTTTTTTTATTAATTTCTGCAATTGTTTTGTACATCTCGGTTTCTATAATTGTTTTATTGTTTTATCTATTATTGTTATACATTGTATTATGTATATAGTAACATTATATCAGCCAGAAGCCATCCTGCTTTCTAGATACTGCCATTGGCATCATTCATTAAAAAACACTGTAAGTAATAATTTCAATTAAAATTCTCCCACCTTATAAAGTATTTCATTAGCCTAACCATAGGCTGTTTATGGCTGACATCAGAAAAAAAAAAAGATTAATTTTCGAGCCAGAGTGCTATTTTAAACATTTTATACTTGCACAGAGAGCGCTAACTGTAAATGCCTGAGCGGTTTGGACTGTGTTTCCAGAGCATTAATCTCATTATCTGTCAGTGAAGGAGTGGCCAATGTAATTACTGTCTCTTTGGGAGTGCTGGGATTACTGAATGCCTGAGGAGAGCTCAGAGCCACATATCTTTATCAAACCACTGATATAAGACCAGGCTCAATCCACTTACTATGCCTATGTGATAGAGGTCCCAAAGACCCCAAAGAAAGTTCAGGGTGATAGGGAGAAAAAGGCCCTGTTTATGTAATTTATATGTATAAAAAATCTATGTATTTATCATTGTCCCATTTTAAATGCATGTTAATTCCTGGTGTAAAAGAGGTAGCAGCTAGTTCCTAATGATGTCATTAAAACTGTATCTGAGATGCGTCACTCTTTTCCAATCAAGTGTTGTGTTATGTTGATATAGATATCATTATGTCAGTCATCATCAATTTGAGTGACTATCGGGGAATCACTCTTGGATTTAAATAAGGTTGTCACTCCCAAAGCCTGTGTAGTGTGTGTACGTGACTTCAGTAAAAGTATGTAAATGTTCTGAGGGTCATGGTGAAATGGTTTTGGCTGACTTGTAACTCGGTCTGTGGTTATGTGTTTTTCACAGTTTTAATTTCACACATTTAAAAAAAATCATGCCCTTTCACTGTGTGAAGACTGGTTGTGTGACTGGTTGACGTAGTTCACCCGGAGCACAAATCCGGGTCTCTTTGGCCTGACTGAGAAGATTTTTCATTTTAAAGCTTCGTCTCATTTCCTTCAGAATGCCACTGAACGCTTTTCTTTGAACGCTGACTTCATGCAGCGGCCGTGCTTGAAAGCTCGGAGTGTTTTCACACTCTCAGTATCCCTGTTCTTTGTTTCACTCCCATTTCCCGTGTCTCATCTCAGATTCCAGAGAGCTGAGACATTTAAATGTCAGGCATCGTGTGGAGTCACATGGCTTTACCTGAACATGACGATAAAAACATGCTATGCTATGCCTGTTCACAAACCCTAGTGTGTCTCATGCTCACTCAGATGAATTCTCCTTTTTGCTTCCCTGTTCTGTGAGTGTGGCCTCTTGTTATGTGTGTGAGTGTGTGTGTGTGTGTGTGTCTCTAATAGGGCTGTGTTTAAAGGACACATAAGTGGGCTGTTGTTTGTCCGCTGTTTTTTAATTGCCTGCAGAACGGGAGAGTGGGGTCGGCATTCCTAAGAGCCCACTCCTGCCCTGAATCTCCCACGCAGATTCTTTAGCCTCTGGCATTATGGGATAGTCCAACAGAACCTCAGTCTTTTCCCAGGTGTCTCCTCTCTGGGAACAAGTCATGGTCACGGGATTAGACTTTCTATTGACCCATAAGTACTTCAAATGAACAGAGCGTCAGAGAAAGGAGATTTGCTTTGTCTGGCTGGTATATATTATAGTATGTATAGACAAAAACTCACTTGTTACACGTTTGCATTGCCAAAATTTTAGTCTAGCTGCATTGGTGTGAATAGTGCAAATTAAAGGATTAGTTCACTTTCAAATAAAAAATTCCTGATAATTTACTCACCCCCATGTTATCCAAGATGTTTACATCTTTCTTTCTTCAGTCGAAAAGAAATTAAGGTTTTTGATGAAAACGTTCCAGGATTATTCTCTTTATAGTGGACTACACGATCCCAGACGAGGAATAAGGGTCTTATCTAGCAAAACGATCGATCATTTTCTAAAAAAAAAAAATGATATGCTTTATAAACAAAAATATGCGCCTTGCACTGCTCTGCGCGTCCATGATTTCACGTAATATGTAATTACGTTGAAAAGGTCACGCTTGATGTAGGCGGAAGTTAGGTTTCAAAAGATTTAAACATCCAGGATACGCACACGAAGTGACCATGTTAAACGATAAACTGACACAAGACATTTGAATATGTGTCATTGAACATACAACAACTTTTGAACGGTCCTCATTCTCCACATTTGTAAATGCTGACTGAGTCGGTACTTCCGCCTCAACGTAATTACGTATTATGTGAAGTCATGGACGTGCATCGCAGTGCAGAGCAAGGCACGCATTTTTGTTTATAAAGCATATACTTTTTTTTTTAGAAAATGACCGATCGTTTCGCTAGATAAGACCCTTACTCCTCGTCTGGGATCGTGGATGACATGGGGGTGAGTAAATTATCAGGAAATTTTAATTTGAAAGTGAAAGTGAACTAATCCTTTAAGTAATATTGAAGTAAAGAAACAATAGTGCAAATATATTAGAATAGTAATATTTACAAGTAAAATCATAATTTGTATTTTAATAGTTTTTAAATGTAGTTTGACTTTTTTAATTTAAATTTAATTATATTTTTACATTTAAATTACATTATATTAAAATTGTTACATTAAAATTACATTACTTTAAAACAATAAATTAAATGACTACAAATTGAACAAATGAGAATAACATACAATAATTATTTGTAATTTAATTTTATGTATGTATTTATATGTTTACATTTAAATTGAATTATGTTTAAATTATATTACATTAAAATTAAATTACCTTAAAGCAGGAACATTTAATTTAGTAAAAAAGTTATTACTAATCAACAAATTTTTAAGAGAATGTTATATTAGGTAATTAATATTCATTTTTTTATTTTTGTTTAATGTTTTTACATTGATATTAAATTACCGTAAAGCAATTAATTAAATTGAATAGGAAATTACTAATTAACAGACTTAAAAAGTAAAAACGCACAATAATTAAGTAATTTTGAAGTATAACATCTATTCTATGCATTATCTTTCACAGATTATCTTACTTCTGTAATAAGTAAAATTATTAAAAAATAAAGATCACTACAGAACCACAGATGCTGACCACTTCATCCACATGCTTTGAATGATCCAGGGAAACAATTGTTCATTTAATATCCAGATATATCAGAATGAATGGAGACTTCCTGCATTCCTGCCATGTTCCCACAACTCTTCCTTATCATATTTTAAGTCTCTATCTTTGCTTCAAAATCTATGAATTATTGTCTGTTGTTTCTGCAGGTGAATGGCATTGCTGTGCACACAATGCAGCATTCAGAAGTGGTGGCAGCCATCAAGACAGGAGGAGATGAGACCAGACTGCTGGTGGTGGATCCTGAGACAGACGACTTCTTCAGCAGCTGTGGTGTCCTTCCGACTGAGAAACATCTCACAGGTACCAGCGTAACAAATTAACCAGCTATTGCGTGTTTTTTTCATGTGCAAAGTGGAGTTTCTGTCCATCTCACCCTTGACCTTAAGTGTGGTTTTGCTGATCAAGAACAACTTTGTTCACTTTGTCAAACATTTCAGATGATGTTACGCACACACACTCACATAGTAACAGACTGCTGGTTAAACATCAACTCAAGGCCTGCGGTGGCACTGTCTATGGTACATGAGAGAATTAGCCAAAGTCAACAGCGCACTGCCAGCATGTCGTCATGGCGATCAGGACCATGGCAGAAGTATGAGAAATAGGGGAAATCAGTCACCCCCACCCTAAATGTGCCAGACAGGCAAACGACTCATGTTTGTGTTCCAGCCACCCCACTATGACACGAAGTAGCATAACATGATATATAACATATAGGTCACTTCATTGGAGGCTTTTTGAGGGTAATAGAGCAACAGGTGAAATAAGAAAAAGTTAAAAAATAAATGATGAGCTTGCCACTGGGCTGTTGGACTTTTTCCATTTCTCACTGAAAGAATGTTGACAGCTGCACCCACACACATCTTTTATTCATTATTTCAACCACAACAGCCATGTTTCCCAATTCTCATTCAATTCTATAAAGGCTTTTTGCCCGTTTCCTGTTTTTTTCTTGGAAGGAAACTCACTGTTCAACCATTGTACTGTGACTCTACTGTGCCAATGGCATTTTAGTTAATAATAGTGATGGGCAGTAATCATGAATCTGCAACCCCCCCCATTTGCATTTGAACTGAGACCAATATATCTGATCATAAGTCTTTAAAATGCATCTGCAGAAATCTAATGAATTGATCTTTTCCCGTCCCTGTTTGTTCTCAGGTCCTCTTCCAGAGCCTGTTTCCAGCCATGATTCAGAAGATCATGTGAGTAACATCTATGTTGCTCATTGTTCAAAAGACTAAGGCTGATGATGATACACGGGGCAACTTTTTGAGCAATGTTGCTGTCAACAGGTAACCAGGTCCCAAGACACAGGGCCCACGACTGATCTAAAGTATCCAGATAGAAATGTGTTACTCATTCTCAAAGGGAAAGTGGCCAAGCAACATTGCTCAAAAAAGTTGCCCTGTGTATCATCAGCCTAAATGTATTCAGACTTAAGTGGACCACATATCTTCATTTGTGTCAAGCAAACATGCGTGTGACCCATTACACATCTCGAAAAGTGGGCGTGTGATGTGCTTTGTTTAGTTGCACATGCTAAATTTACCTGATCACATTTGATTGGCTGATAAAGTGTAGTAGTGTCGGAGCATCAGTGATGGGATTAGACAGGCAGCATTAGGACGAGGGTAAATCTGTGGAGTCTGATAACCAGATTTCAGGCCACTTTTAATGCAGTGTCCTGGTTCCTCTCCAGCAGCTCTTCTCTGTCAGTTTTCCCACTGCTAGATTAGACTAGCTGAGAGAATGATAACCTGGAGCAGATAATCGCCGCTTCCTCTGACTTAATGGAAGCTCTGCATGTCCAGTTCTTGCTCTTTTTCTTCACACAACACAAACATCTGTAGCTTTATCAAATTCTAAACCTGGTACCGCTGGCGTTTCTCAGATACTCTTTCGCCCTCAGATGTTTGCCTGGCTCTGATGAAGGATTCCTGGCTCTTGCTCAGACATCACAGAGAGTTTGAGTACTGTGAATCCATTATTACTTTTGAGATTTGTGGATCATGTGGTTTACATTAGTTGTTCTAGAATGGAAGCCATAAAGCGATTTAAAAATATTTTTGGATTTAAAACATTTCTAAAACATACTTGATATACATATATACATTTGAAAATATCTATATTAATTGTATTCATCAATGCAACATTAAATTGATCAAAAGTGACAGTAAAGATTTACTTTCTAACTTTCTATTCACCAAAGAATGCTGAAAAAAAGTATACATTTCCACAAAAATGTTAAGCAGCACAACTTTCTGACTGGAAGACCTCAGGCAGTTCGGGTCGGCAGCAACACATCCAGCATCATCACACTGAACACTGGGGCCCCCCAAGGATGTGTAAGAATTGACAATAAAGCAGACTTGACTTGACTTGAACTGTTTTCAACATTGATAATAAGAAATAATAAGCACCAAATCAGCATATTAAAAGGATTTCTTAAGGATCATGTGACACTGAAGGCTGGAGTAGTGGCTGCAGATAATTCAGCTTTGCCTTCACAGGAATAAATTGCATTTTAAATTAATTTTAATTTATAATCATATTTCACAATATTACTGTTTCTATTGTATTTTTAATCAAATAAATGGAGACTTGGTGAGCATGAGAGCCTTATTAAAAAATCATACTGACTGAAAATCTTACCAACCCCAAACTTTTGAACAGTAGTGTCATGATACTCATTCCTATGGGACATTCTTACCAGAAAAGCTCTTTCGCAAAGGACCGTATTTTTTCATATGCCATAACATTTTGGTTACATACAATACAAGCAAAACAAGCAAATGTTCATTTGCATCATCTAATGCATCAAAAATTCTATAGCAAATATAAATGCCTTTAGTTAGGCTCAGCACTGAAATATTTCATTGGCTAGAAATCGCCCAATCTGTTCAGTCTGTATAAAATGACTTTTAAACTTTACAAACAACTTGAACAATCACAGGAGTTTCAAAGCCCTAGACGGAGCTTGAGATTTGTTCGGTTTAGTCTATGTTGTAGAGAAATGTCTCATTTCATCTACATTACATCAGGTTCCCCATGCCTGTTGATCAAAGTTGTTTGTGATGGTATAAAAACTTGTAAAATGGTGTGGAAACCTGGTTTGAGGAGCTAGGATTTTGTAACACTTTCTTTCAGTTCATGGCTATCTTAGTGCCTTCCACCTCACTAATTATTCTTTGCAATTTGTTCAAAGAGTGAAAAAAGATTACTATAACTCTTGCTAATTTCTTAATTGCCTCCACTTACAGATGTAATGTGTAGTTTCGTCTGAACACAGGGCCTGTCCCAATACCCACACTCGCTGTCTCTTCACTTGACCATTTGTCTGCTTACATGACATGCTTCCTGTATTCAACTCAAGAGGGCGTGAAGACCACAAGTGTATGTAGAACGCTTGCTTGATTAACCGATTGGGACACACTTACAAAACAGTGTTGTCTAAGTTATTAAAGAGCTTCAGTTACACATTTTGATTTCTAGTACTTTGGACTTTAGAATAAACTTGTCCGTTCAGTAGTTCCTGTGTAACAGACAATACAATTGAATTGTGGTCCTTCTAAAATAAAAAAAGCCCTTCCAAATGTTTTAGAAAATATACATAGTCATCTCCGCACCAATAAAATGTGCAACACCTAACATTTTACTATTAAATTATATGTAACATCTAATTAATGTAGCTTACACTGTAAAGTTTTCCTCAAAATCTCAAGGTTTCAGGGAACACGAGTTCATGCACATGATGTGTAATTGGATACACTTAGCCTCAAATAATGCACCAAAGCACTATTAGAGATAGTGTGGATTTAGCTTTGGCATTTATCCTACTTGGGACAGTCTTGTGTGTGTCCATCCTGTCACATGCACTTGGCCAAGACCTCAAGTGTGGCTTTTGGGACAGGCCCCATAGTCAGACTGTGAACTGAAACCTCAGGGTCCATCTAGGGGTTTGTTTTTGGTCCTGCACTTAAAGGGAAAGTCCACACAATTTTGCCATCATTTATTCACCCCCATGTCGTTCCAAACTAACTTTCTTCTGTGGAAGACAAGATATTTTGAAGAATGTTGGTAGCATTGTTTGGCCAAAAAATACAGTGGAAGTCAGTAGAGACAGAAAGTGTCTGGTTATTCAAAATACATACTTTTGTGTTCAACAGAAGAAAGAAATGCAGACAGGTTTGGAATGACATGAGTGTGAGTAAATGATGACAGAATTTCCATTTTTTGGTGGACTACGCTTTTAATTGTTTGACGTTGTTTTTATATTAATGTCAATACTTTGTTGAAGGTGAATGGAAAAGCAACTCAGGAGGAAAAGCCTAAAGTAGCTATGAGCCTGTCGACCTCCAGCACCTCCTCCAACACCTCCACTTCTGCAGCTCCAGCCAGCACCTCAGCACCAGAGGTTTGTGTCCATGCACACAGTCTTGAGTATACATAGAATGTTCATTTTAATGCTGAAATGTTTGCAGGACAAACCAAAAGAGAAGGCTTCAAGTGATGACGCAGGACTATCTCTGAACATATCGCTGCAGCAGGCCAAGGAACGCGCTCACCAGAAACGCTCTAGCAAGAGAGCCCCGCAGATGGACTGGAGCAAAAGAAATGAGCTCTTCAGCAACCTCTGAGCCTCCTTTGTGCTTCCCATCTTCCTCTCGCCCATTTCTTTTCATCTGTTTTTCTTTACTTCCTCTACAATTGTCCGTCCCATCATGCCTCTCTGCTCCTTTGTTCTCTCTCTCAGTACACTTGTACACATTTAGAAACCCTTTCACATGTGTATTTTTAAACCAGTGTTATTTCGCCTGTGATTTCTGAATCTGTTGATTTTTAATGTTTGATCAACTTGATTTACCTCTGTATCGCTGATAAAAGATGAAATATATGATTTAACATTACTGTATAATGTACAGTCTAGAATATAATTTTTTTTAAAGAAGAACGCTTAAATGATATCTGAAACAAATCTGTATATTCTCTTGCTTTGCTTACAGTAATATTGATGGCCCTTTGAAAGCGCTGTATAGTGTCTGATGAGTTGCTTCAGGACTAGTCTTAACCATAGAGTTTTGAAGTAACTTTTAGAGCAGCAGCAATCCATTGATTTTTCTTTTTTCGTGTGTGTGTGTGTGTGTGTGTGTGGTTATGATCAGTTCATAACATGAAGTGTAGAAACTGCAGCCTAAATGTGAGCTGTTCATGGTTTGGGACCCATTAACCACTGAAATGAACGCGTTTGACTGAATTGACGCTGTTGGCTGATAAACCTTCTAATTAAAGGTTTTATTTAAAGTGCTTGTTTAGTGGATGTGCTGTGCTTTTTATACAGCACATGGTAATAGTGGGAGTGAGTGCTGGATGTTTAAGTGTACGTTTACTTTTTATTTTTATATCCACAGCAAATGCTCGCTTCACTCCATATGACTTTAGTTGGTAAATTTGTAAAGTACTGAAATGGACCTGCTTTAAATAACTGTTAAAGAACCATGTCTCTTTGTTCTACACCAAAAACGATGAACATTTAAAAAAATGGCCAGTCTGTTATGACTATATTTATACACGTGTTGCACAATATATAGCGATGCCAGAAAAGCATTGTAATACCCTGCTGTTAAAAACGATACTATTCCTTGACAGCGTTTTAATAAGAGTTGTATTTCCTGAGTTGCGTCTGTTCAAAGTATTTGGCATGTTGGATCTGTGCATTAGGTCTTAAAGTTACAGCAGCCTAATAAACCTGCTGCTCTCCATGTCACTAATGTTAATCAAACAAGAACAGAAAATTAGAAAATCACTCACTCTTGACTGAATAACTTTAGTAGCTTGCATATTTAATTCATACAGAGAAGACTATTCAGTGTTTTATTTTAACATTTGGTTATTCAATTTCTGTAGTATTTCTTACGTGAATGCTACTGTTAAATAGTCTGTACCTGAAAAAAAAATTAAAAGCAGTTTATTTAATTTTTATCTTTATATTGTATTTTTCCTGTTGTTTGTCATTTGCATTTTTGTCCTTATTTTTGATGACAAAGATAAAAAAATAACTATGCCTTTAAGTACCAAGAAGGGAAAACAACTTATACAGATAAACGTTTAGTATTCTTTTTAATTCAGTGTAAAAATTTCTTTTTTTTTTCTCAAATTCAACAGATACATTTTCACAGCCATGCGGAAACAGTTTGAAATGCTTGTAAACAAATTAACAAAATTCAACCAACAAAAGCTTCCCCCACAGTTGAACTATATACATATACGCTATCAAACCCCATATCACAGCACGCATCATCATCATCAGAAATAAAGCAAAGACCAGATACACTCTATCAAAAAAGTTACAAACCCACCACCCTCACCTCTATGTACTATGAGGGTCAATGTTAGTTCCTTATTTTTTCATCGTTATAACAAATGATTTCGGCTACTTGTATCCAAAATACTGATCTGAAGTTATAATCACCAGCTCTCCAACTTATAATTACAGACTTAATTCTTTTAATAGACCTAATGAACGAGTTATCAAATATATATATATAGCACCGTGATGTGATTACTGAGGACAGAGGGAACATCACAAAAACCCGTGTTAGTATCGAGACCAGAACAACACTGGCCTTCATAAGATTCTCACATTGCTGCATGCACTGATAATCACTCTACTGGACAACATATTTTTCTTTATATTATGTATTTCACTTCTCTATGTTTGACTCGATAACTTTACTTATGTAGAGAAAAAACATAACCGAGGATAAGGCATCAATTCTGCTGACAAGAGTGTTTACTTAAAGGTGAGGTTGTGCGTTAGGGCTTAAATTCATTTGAGGGTAGCAGCTAAATTTGCCTCAACAGTCATATTTTAATTGCAAATGATTGAGATTTTGGTCTTATTATAATAAAAAAATGTAAAACAAATTTAGTTGACAAGCATGATCATAACCAGTGTGTACCTAAATCCTGATGCTATGGGTTTGAGGAAAAAAAAAAATCTGGCATTGAAAATAATGCAACATTTGCATAAAGAATAAGCACTGAAAGAAGTATGAACATGACGATATTGATCTGGTTGCTGATGTCAAATGTAGCCATAAAGTCCCAGTATGACGTTTACAAATTAAATACACAACAGTGCCTTACATTTGGAAAACTACACATGCATACAGCACAACAGTTACTGAAGAAACCCAAAAATTACTTTAAAAATAAAAAATAAACCAATTCATAATGATTCAGTACAAACATCTGTTAAAACCCATGAAGGAAAAAGTAAATTACAAAAGAGAGAGAAGAAAAACACCACCACTTGTTAAAAAAATACATTGGATCTTTATACAACAAACCATAATTTAACATGGATCTAACTACAACACGTGGGTGACCATTTACAAAATGTAATCAGCATTTGATGAATGCAAGCAAAGTTGAACCAGAGGAAAAGAAGGAAAACAAAGACATGATCACATTTGTCAGGAGCTTCAAATATTGGAAACAAACAAAACGGCGGTATCGTAAGTAGAACTGGATGATCTTAGAAGCACTTAGCCACGACCCTTCAAATAAAGCAGAAGTCAATGAGATACGTTTCCTGAGAGTTCACCAACAACCTTACTGGTACTGAATAGAGCTTCTAATTATACTAAGATAAACCACTATGCAAATGTAAATTGGTTGATTCTATATGATGTTATAAAGGTTATTTACACTCAGAATGATCTATAACAGGGAAAGCTCAAGTCTAGCTCTTAGAAAATTGTCACAGTTTTGCAATATATTGTAAGAATATTTTGTTTTAAGTCTATAGAATGCATCTAAGTCTATATACGTATGAGCTGTATGATTTTTGTTTTCAGAGTAAGACATCATAAAACAACAGACATTATTATTGCATAACATTCTTTTCCATTTCAAGAACTCTGTCGATAACATGCTATGATACAAATATAAATGATGTGTAGACTTTTAAAGTGAAATAAGCCATGTGTCCAAGTGTGGATATTTCCATATGCATAAAATATAATGAATATGCCCTTTCAAATGGAGCATGAAAACTACCTATTGCAACCTTAGCGAGGCTGAGGAACCACATGAATCCTCAACCTGTGTATTTTAAAATCATGTTTTCTTTTAGAGGTAGTAAAAATGGTTTTATTCTGGAATGAATGCTGCGAGTAAAGGAAAATGCATGGGATGGGATTCCTCGCTGATGCACGAACAAGGAGGCTTGTAAACAAACAAGCTGGCGCTGTATTGTTCAGAGACTCGCAATACTACTAGAAAGTTTACCAGAAGAATCCTCTGCTGTGCCGTCAACATCAAAGATGACAGGAAGGTACTGTTCAGGTAGCAGTGATTGCTTACGTTTTATTCCGGCTCACAAAATACTTTGACCGCCCGTATAAAAATGGCTCTTTAGAACGAAATCAAACGCATAAACATTGGTGTAAAATGTCAAACAATATATATTTTTTTTTGCATATCACAATATTCACTGTGACTTGAGCACATCCCACTTCTATAATTATGTTTGCTAATCACATTATACAATGAAGCTGCAGGTTTTACTATCATTTTACAGGCCAATACATATATTTGTATCCCTGTAGTGCAAATTGTGAGTGTTTTCCATTAGTCTACTCTTCATACCAGTAAGGTTTGATTTCAATACCATCATCCCTCATTCCACTACTATATTTATACGTTTAAATATTTATATATGTGTGTGTTTAATATGAATGTCATACATATATGAATATACTGTCTCGATATAGATTTTTACTACTCTTACCAAATGCACACCCATCCAGAACAAATGAAACGGCACGAGAAACACACAAGGTACTGAAATCTTACCCCCCCAAAAAGTTGGGGGTTTTTTTCCCTCACCAAATGGGGAAATAAAGACAGAAAAAGCGAAGAAAACTTCAAGTACAATGAACACTGAGGAGAAAAAGTCCATCGGGCGAAAAGTCAGGACAAAAAACAGTATCCCCATTTCAAACAAAATCCCCTCTTATACACACCCTTCTCTCTCGGATCAATGACTGAGAAGTCCATTCTTCAAGCTTTTCAAACCTGAAAAGGAACAATAAAATGAAAAGAGAGAGACCTGGTGTGAGGGGGAAGTCACTGTGTCTTCTCCCAGGCCTCGTGTGCATCGCTCCGAGTGGGATTTTTCCAGTGCTGTTGGCAGTGAGGTGAGGCTCCGTGATGGCTGATGCTGCTCAGGGCTCCTGTCTGATGTAGTAACTGCCTGAGCCGTTGCTCTCCTGGTCTGAGATGCCCTGCGAGAAGGTGAACTCGTCCATCTCAGGAGTCTCTTCTTTCAACTGCAGCGAGGCCTGTGTGGTTATGATCAGTTCATAACATGAAGTGTAGAAACTGCAGCCTAAATGTGAGCTGTTCATGGTTTGGGACCCATTAACCACTGAAATGAACGCGTTTGACTGAATTGACGCTGTTGGCTGATAAACCTTCTAATTAAAGGTTTTATTTAAAGTGCTTGTTTAGTGGATGTGCTGTGCTTTTTATACAGCACATGGTAATAGTGGGAGTGAGTGCTGGATGTTTAAGTGTACGTTTACTTTTTATTTTTATATCCACAGCAAATGCTCGCTTCACTCCATATGACTTTAGTTGGTAAATTTGTAAAGTACTGAAATGGACCTGCTTTAAATAACTGTTAAAGAACCATGTCTCTTTGTTCTACACCAAAAACGATGAACATTTAAAAAAATGGCCAGTCTGTTATGACTATATTTATACACGTGTTGCACAATATATAGCGATGCCAGAAAAGCATTGTAATACCCTGCTGTTAAAAACGATACTATTCCTTGACAGCGTTTTAATAAGAGTTGTATTTCCTGAGTTGCGTCTGTTCAAAGTATTTGGCATGTTGGATCTGTGCATTAGGTCTTAAAGTTACAGCAGCCTAATAAACCTGCTGCTCTCCATGTCACTAATGTTAATCAAACAAGAACAGAAAATTAGAAAATCACTCACTCTTGACTGAATAACTTTAGTAGCTTGCATATTTAATTCATACAGAGAAGACTATTCAGTGTTTTATTTTAACATTTGGTTATTCAATTTCTGTAGTATTTCTTACGTGAATGCTACTGTTAAATAGTCTGTACCTGAAAAAAAAATTAAAAGCAGTTTATTTAATTTTTATCTTTATATTGTATTTTTCCTGTTGTTTGTCATTTGCATTTTTGTCCTTATTTTTGATGACAAAGATAAAAAAATAACTATGCCTTTAAGTACCAAGAAGGGAAAACAACTTATACAGATAAACGTTTAGTATTCTTTTTAATTCAGTGTAAAAATTTCTTTTTTTTTTCTCAAATTCAACAGATACATTTTCACAGCCATGCGGAAACAGTTTGAAATGCTTGTAAACAAATTAACAAAATTCAACCAACAAAAGCTTCCCCCACAGTTGAACTATATACATATACGCTATCAAACCCCATATCACAGCACGCATCATCATCATCAGAAATAAAGCAAAGACCAGATACACTCTATCAAAAAAGTTACAAACCCACCACCCTCACCTCTATGTACTATGAGGGTCAATGTTAGTTCCTTATTTTTTCATCGTTATAACAAATGATTTCGGCTACTTGTATCCAAAATACTGATCTGAAGTTATAATCACCAGCTCTCCAACTTATAATTACAGACTTAATTCTTTTAATAGACCTAATGAACGAGTTATCAAATATATATATATAGCACCGTGATGTGATTACTGAGGACAGAGGGAACATCACAAAAACCCGTGTTAGTATCGAGACCAGAACAACACTGGCCTTCATAAGATTCTCACATTGCTGCATGCACTGATAATCACTCTACTGGACAACATATTTTTCTTTATATTATGTATTTCACTTCTCTATGTTTGACTCGATAACTTTACTTATGTAGAGAAAAAACATAACCGAGGATAAGGCATCAATTCTGCTGACAAGAGTGTTTACTTAAAGGTGAGGTTGTGCGTTAGGGCTTAAATTCATTTGAGGGTAGCAGCTAAATTTGCCTCAACAGTCATATTTTAATTGCAAATTATTGAGATTTTGGTCTTATTATAATAAAAAAATGTAAAACAAATTTAGTTGACAAGCATGATCATAACCAGTGTGTACCTAAATCCTGATGCTATGGGTTTGAGGAAAAAAAAAAATCTGGCATTGAAAATAATGCAACATTTGCATAAAGAATAAGCACTGAAAGAAGTATGAACATGACGATATTGATCTGGTTGCTGATGTCAAATGTAGCCATAAAGTCCCAGTATGACGTTTACAAATTAAATACACAACAGTGCCTTACATTTGGAAAACTACACATGCATACAGCACAACAGTTACTGAAGAAACCCAAAAATTACTTTAAAAATAAAAAATAAACCAATTCATAATGATTCAGTACAAACATCTGTTAAAACCCATGAAGGAAAAAGTAAATTACAAAAGAGAGAGAAGAAAAACACCACCACTTGTTAAAAAAATACATTGGATCTTTATACAACAAACCATAATTTAACATGGATCTAACTACAACACGTGGGTGACCATTTACAAAATGTAATCAGCATTTGATGAATGCAAGCAAAGTTGAACCAGAGGAAAAGAAGGAAAACAAAGACATGATCACATTTGTCAGGAGCTTCAAATATTGGAAACAAACAAAACGGCGGTATCGTAAGTAGAACTGGATGATCTTAGAAGCACTTAGCCACGACCCTTCAAATAAAGCAGAAGTCAATGAGATACGTTTCCTGAGAGTTCACCAACAACCTTACTGGTACTGAATAGAGCTTCTAATTATACTAAGATAAACCACTATGCAAATGTAAATTGGTTGATTCTATATGATGTTATAAAGGTTATTTACACTCAGAATGATCTATAACAGGGAAAGCTCAAGTCTAGCTCTTAGAAAATTGTCACAGTTTTGCAATATATTGTAAGAATATTTTGTTTTAAGTCTATAGAATGCATCTAAGTCTATATACGTATGAGCTGTATGATTTTTGTTTTCAGAGTAAGACATCATAAAACAACAGACATTATTATTGCATAACATTCTTTTCCATTTCAAGAACTCTGTCGATAACATGCTATGATACAAATATAAATGATGTGTAGACTTTTAAAGTGAAATAAGCCATGTGTCCAAGTGTGGATATTTCCATATGCATAAAATATAATGAATATGCCCTTTCAAATGGAGCATGAAAACTACCTATTGCAACCTTAGCGAGGCTGAGGAACCACATGAATCCTCAACCTGTGTATTTTAAAATCATGTTTTCTTTTAGAGGTAGTAAAAATGGTTTTATTCTGGAATGAATGCTGCGAGTAAAGGAAAATGCATGGGATGGGATTCCTCGCTGATGCACGAACAAGGAGGCTTGTAAACAAACAAGCTGGCGCTGTATTGTTCAGAGACTCGCAATACTACTAGAAAGTTTACCAGAACAATCCTCTGCTGTGCGGTCAACATCAAAGATGACAGGAAGGTAGTGTTCAGGTAGCAGTGATTGCTTACGTTTTATTCCGGCTCACAAAATACTTTGACCGCCCGTATAAAAATGGCTCTTTAGAACGAAATCAAACGCATAAACATTGGTGTAAAATGTCAAACAATATATATTTTTTTTTGCATATCACAATATTCACTGTGACTTGAGCACATCCCACTTCTATAATTATGTTTGCTAATCACATTATACAATGAAGCTGCAGGTTTTACTATCATTTTACAGGCCAATACATATATTTGTATCCCTGTAGTGCAAATTGTGAGTGTTTTCCATTAGTCTACTCTTCATACCAGTAAGGTTTGATTTCAATACCATCATCCCTCATTCCACTACTATATTTATACGTTTAAATATTTATATATGTGTGTGTTTAATATGAATATCATACATGTATGAATATACTGTCTTAATATAGATTTCTACTACTCTTACCAAATGCACACCCATCCAAAACAAATTAAACAGCGCAAGAAACACACAAGGTACTGAAATCTTACCCCCCCAAAAAGTTGGGGGTTTTTTTCCCTCACCAAATGGGGAAATAAAGACAGAAAAAGCGAAGAAAACTTCAAGTACAATGAACACTGAGGAGAAAAAGTCCATCGGGCGAAAAGTCAGGACAAAAAACAGTATCCCCATTTCAAACAAAATCCCCTCTTATACACACCCTTCTCTCTCGGATCAATGACTGAGAAGTCCATTCTTCAAGCTTTTCAAACCTGAAAAGGAACAATAAAATGAAAAGAGAGAGACCTGGTGTGAGGGGGAAGTCACTGTGTCTTCTCCCAGGCCTCGTGTGCATCGCTCCGAGTGGGATTTTTCCAGTGCTGTTGGCAGTGAGGTGAGGCTCCGTGATGGCTGATGCTGCTCAGGGCTCCTGTCTGATGTAGTAACTGCCTGAGCCGTTGCTCTCCTGGTCTGAGATGCCCTGCGAGAAGGTGAACTCGTCCATCTCAGGAGTCTCTTCTTTCAACTGCAGCGAGGCCTCTGGAACACAAAAACGAGAGACAAGAATACCAATCCATAAAATTAAACACACTGGTAAAAGAGGACAACTAAATGCAACAGTAAATGGAAAAATTGGCTGTGAGAACACCTGAGGACTAACATTTTACACTCAGATCTACAAAAGTGTGGGTGGAAAGGAGAAGTATCACTCCACTTAAAAATAAAAATCTCAAAACAAAATAAACATTTGCAATGGCCAACAGAAACCAACCTTTTCCATTTTTACGCTTTCAAATTTAAGCATATTGTAGCATTCACATAATGAAATCAACCAGGCAGCGATACTTCAGTAGAATGAACTTACCTGTAATATTTAAAAGGACAGTTCACTCAAAAATGAAAATTGTCATTTACTCACTCTCATGTCATCCCATATGGCTTGGAATATAAAAAATGGCCAGAGCCACCTACAGCTGAAGAATGGGTTCTATTCTATAATATATAATATGTGTTATGGAAGGTCTTTTTTTGTTTGTTTGATTTTCTTTCATATTGAAGAATTTTTATTTTTAATTTGAATTTTTACTTTGGACAGAATACATCAAACAGAAAACCCATACAATTAGACTTTTATTGAATAGTAAATAACCTGCAGTGTTGGAGCACATACCTGGTAAAAAAACTGTAACCATATTAATAAGAATGTCCTTGTTTTATTGAAGAAATAATGCTTGTTGGTCACTGTACATGTTTTGCTTGTGTAACAAATATATAAACAGCTTTTTTTTTTTTTTTAAATGGTCATTTTAGAGCTTGACAGAACCAGTACCATTTTATTGTTAAATGAAGAAAAAAATGGCTAAAAAATTCTCTTTTTGTGTTCCAAAGAAAGTCATACAGGTTTTAAAGAAAGTCATACAGGTTTTAAAGATCATGAGGGCAAGTGACAGAATTGACAGTATTTTTGGTGACCCATTCCTTTAACATCCAAATACTATTAATTCACACCACAGAAAGTGAATAAAAAGGTCAGGTGTGGGATGAAACTGACCGTGCACACAATTCTTCTGAGTCAAACATAAAACTATCCTTTTTTATCATGCAACGGTCGTTAATGGTGTATGCGGCACAAATGACTCAGACACCTGATGACGTGCAACTCATCACGCTGGCCGACCTGAAAAGTTCTACAGAAATGAGCTCTGTGGCGCCCTCTCCCTGAGTGATGGAGAATTGAGTTACCTGAGTTGAGAGAGCGATCATGCTTTACACCTGAGGTGGGAGGTCGCCCGGACCCAGAGAAGTGGGACAGGTAATGGGGCAGAGTCTGCTCTTCATCGCCCGAGAAGCTCCTCCTCCTCAGAGGCCCACCCAAACCGATCGGCCTCCTCCCAACTGGAATCTTCCTCTCTAAACACCAAGCCAGACTGAGGTTACCGAAGTTACTGAGATTACGCAGGCTATCGAGCTCCACTCCATAACACTGCAGGCCATCCTCCGGCTGAGCCCAAATTTCAACTCAGATCTGAACCTTAATTTGATTTCTACATGTCAGAAGGGTGATTGTGTTGAGAAACTGAAGCCCTGAGAAAAGGCAATGTGGAACCCAACATGATGACTTAAAATCTGACCCCTACCAAACATTTGCTCAGATTCTGTCACCCCGAGGGAGGGTGCCACTTCTTTCTCACCCGGGGATGAGGATGATGGCTACAGTTTTTCTGTAATTATCCGTGACCCCACTGAATCGTGACAACTGCTACCGACGATCAAGCTCGTCCATCTCAGGAGTCTCTTCTTTTAACTGCAGCGAGGCCTCTGGAAAACAAAAACGAGAGACAAGAATACCAATCCATACAATTAAACACACTGGTAAAAGAGGACAACTAAATGCAACAGTAAATGGAAAAATTGGCTGTGAGAACACCTGAGGACTAACATTTTACACTCAGATCTACAAAAGTGTGGGTGGAAAGGAGAAGTATCACTCCACTTAAAAATAAAAATCTCAAAACAAAATAAACATTTGCAATGGCCAACAGAAACCAACCTTTTCCATTTTTACGCTTTCAAATTTAAGCATATTGTAGCATTCACATAATGAAATCAACCAGGCAGCGATACTTCAGTAGAATGAACTTACCTGTAATATTTAAAAGGACAGTTCACTCAAAAATGAAAATTGTCATTTACTCACTCTCATGTCATCCCATATGGCTTGGAATATAAAAAATGGCCAGAGCCACCTACAGCTGAAGAATGGGTTCTATTCTATAATATATAATATGTGTTATGGAAGGTCTTTTTTTGTTTGTTTGATTTTCTTTCATATTGAAGAATTTTTATTTTTAATTTGAATTTTTACTTTGGACAGAATACATCAAACAGAAAACCCATACAATTAGACTTTTATTGAATAGTAAATAACCTGCAGTGTTGGAGCACATACCTGGTAAAAAAACTGTAACCATATTAATAAGAATGTCCTTGTTTTATTGAAGAAATAATGCTTGTTGGTCACTGTACATGTTTTGCTTGTGTAACAAATATATAAACAGCTTTTTTTTTTTTTTTAAATGGTCATTTTAGAGCTTGACAGAACCAGTACCATTTTATTGTTAAATGAAGAAAAAAATGGCTAAAAAATTCTCTTTTTGTGTTCCAAAGAAAGTCATACAGGTTTTAAAGAAAGTCATACAGGTTTTAAAGATCATGAGGGCAAGTGACAGAATTGACAGTATTTTTGGTGACCCATTCCTTTAACATCCAAATACTATTAATTCACACCACAGAAAGTGAATAAAAAGGTCAGGTGTGGGATGAAACTGACCGTGCACACAATTCTTCTGAGTCAAACATAAAACTATCCTTTTTTATCATGCAACGGTCGTTAATGGTGTATGCGGCACAAATGACTCAGACACCTGATGACGTGCAACTCATCACGCTGGCCGACCTGAAAAGTTCTACAGAAATGAGCTCTGTGGCGCCCTCTCCCTGAGTGATGGAGAATTGAGTTACCTGAGTTGAGAGAGCGATCATGCTTTACACCTGAGGTGGGAGGTCGCCCGGACCCAGAGAAGTGGGACAGGTAATGGGGCAGAGTCTGCTCTTCATCGCCCGAGAAGCTCCTCCTCCTCAGAGGCCCACCCAAACCGATCGGCCTCCTCCCAACTGGAATCTTCCTCTCTAAACACCAAGCCAGACTGAGGTTACCGAAGTTACTGAGATTACGCAGGCTATCGAGCTCCACTCCATAACACTGCAGGCCATCCTCCGGCTGAGCCCAAATTTCAACTCAGATCTGAACCTTAATTTGATTTCTACATGTCAGAAGGGTGATTGTGTTGAGAAACTGAAGCCCTGAGAAAAGGCAATGTGGAACCCAACATGATGACTTAAAATCTGACCCCTACCAAACATTTGCTCAGATTCTGTCACCCCGAGGGAGGGTGCCACTTCTTTCTCACCCGGGGATGAGGATGATGGCTACAGTTTTTCTGTAATTATCCGTGACCCCACTGAATCGTGACAACTGCTACCGACGATCAAGCAGAACCAGACCAGACCTAAAGCTGAGGGAAACCCAGAAGAAACGGCTCCTGGACCAATTTTGCACCCAAAATCAGTGTTCGGTGAGAGGAGAGAGAAGATGATTTGGAAGATGATTGGACTCACTTTTCTTTTGTCCTTTATACTGTGCAGTCTTCTTTTTCTGTTTGGAGACATTTGGTGGTGCTTCTCTTGTGGCTGAGGACGAAACAGACAGGCTGTTATTCTATGCAGCCAATCATTAAACACCATTCAAACACATTGTAGTTTACAATAAAAAGGACAGCAGGATTTTTATTTGCTCGGAGTTAAAAATTATGCACAAAAGATAAGCATTAAAAAAGATGTTATTATAGTGTTATTATTCCGCATTGTACAACCAATATTAAATAATACATTATAATCAAAATTATTAGCCTATTCTTATTTACACTTTGCACAGTACATAAGTCATGGGACGCATGCTATCCTTTATGTGCTCTGTTAAAGGACACTTGATTGATTGGATCTGTCAAAAAGACAAGAAATTATGGCCTAAGTTTACATGTCAGTGTTTTCTCAGTATTCAGTAACTCTGACATTGTCTTTGCTGGTATACAGAGGTCAGTCCATCATAGAAGTCATTTACATATAGATTTAAATTTACATTTACGGTATCAAACTGTTTAAGTCGAAGGGTCAGACAGAGAGTAGAAAATAGTTGTGAAAAACTAAATTAAAAAACAAAAGAATAAGAATTAAAAAAAGTGTAGAAGACTATCAATGTGAGAATAAACAGTCTTGCTATGAAACAATTTGAACCTTCTAGAATCAGAATCTTTTGGACTGTTCACTCACTCTGTGTGGCAGGCGGCTGCAGCTGATAGCCAGTCAGTTGGCACCAGCCTACGGGGTAGAGATCTGGAGACTCACAGTCCACCCACTGATCATACTCATCCTCCCAGCCATCAAAATGAATGCGCAGGAGTCTGTGGACGATCCTGGTCACTGTGGCGACACACACCAGACGTGGCTCCATCAGGTCCACTGCCTCAACCTTCATACCTATACGGAAGCCGTGATTCGGTACTTCCTGAAAGCAAGAGAAGACATTCATCCCAGTGTGTAAATGAAGACAAAACACAATGCATTATTTCTCAAATAAATTAAAAAAAAACTTGAAAACTTACTTTGTTAAAGAGCTTCACAGGGGCTGCAATTGAACCCATTTCTTTGAGGTAGTCAAACCATTTGAAAGGGAGTTTGGTGTACCCTGTGGAGCAGTTTCAGATTCATTAGCAAAAATTTCCAAATTTCATTGCCAAATTTCATTCAGTGATGCAGTCAGATCAGATCACACTGCAGAAAGAGAGGAAAAGCACCTCTTGGGGGTGTGAGCTCAATGTTGTTGATTTCACAGAAGCCGACTGGGAAGATGGAGGGAGAGGTTGAGTGGTAGCAGAACCAGTCTGACCCATCAGCAGCCTCAGAACCATCAATCCCGATCATTAGGTACCCGTCTGCCAACACCTGAGAGAAGATAATCAATTCCAAGTTAAAATACTTCCTACTTCCTGACCATTTCACCAATAACTGATTTTGTTTTAGCCGTTTTCCCCATGCAGTGCATATCAAGCAGATGGAGAGAGGTGGGTGGGAAGGGCGGATGGGTAATTGTTCTGTATTATTTACAATATTCGGTATCTTTAAATATAGGTACGTGTTCACATGTATTTTTAGGTGATAGGTGCTGCACAGTTATATAAAGAAAATTGTATGTATAGATGCCCATATGTTTATATAAGATTATACTGAATATTTAAAATAAATTCACAATTTCTAGTCTATTTTTTTTTTCTGAATTACAAATCTCTACTTTGCATTTGTACTACTGTAGTGTTGTGAATTTTTTTTTTTTTCCCAAATCAACATTTAAGACTAACAGAGAAAAATGACAAAATGGCATTTTACCTTTCTTACAGTAGCAACACATATAGCAGAGAGATTTAGAGGGTCTATTGCTTCCAACTTCATTCCATCTTTAAACCATTCCCCACTCTGATCCACATCCTTAACCTGTGGGTTCAAAAGATGACATACATGAATGTGACTGTAAACAGTCGAATAAAAAAAAAAACCCAAAAAAACAATTACAAATATACCTCAAGAAACAACTGTGACGGAGCATCCATCTGACCCTCCATTTTCTTTGTCACCTCTACAGAGGGCAACATTAGACACATTTAGATCCATAAGCCACAACAACTTCATCAAATGTTATTTTTTGTTGAATCAACTTTGAAAAGGTCAATCGAAAACCATTCAGACTCCCACACTGACCAGATCTTTTGAAACGGTGTCCAATGCTACGTGACCAGCCAATGGAGTGGATGAGTGGGCTGTACATGTGACACCAGAAGTCATCGGTGCCGTCCTGGCTCTCCTCATACACCAGGCGCAAACGTCCGCCGATCACCTGTTCCACCAGGGCCACGCGGGTTCGGCACAGGTGGGTCTTATCCACAACTTCCACACGCATCAGTTTCTTAAACGGGTACTGCATGTTTTCCTGAACCTTTAGTTAAACATTTAAACAAATAGTTTTTTGCTCACAGATGGAGATTACTGTGAAAGGTTGGGGTTTGTAACATTTTTTATGTTTTTGAAAGAAGCTTCTTATGCTCACCAAGGCTGCATTTATTGATCAAAATTACATTAAAAACAGTAATATTGTGGAATATTGTTTCAATTTAAAACTATATTTAAAAAAAATTAAATGTATTCCTGTGAATGCAAATCTGATTCACTAGTCTTCAGTGTCACATGATCCTTCAGAAATCATTCCAATATGCTAATTTGGTGCTCAAGAAACTTTTATTATTATTATTTTTATTATCATAATCATCATATTTTTTGTAGACACTTTTTTTGTAGATTAATATTTTGTAGAAACAGATACATTTTTAAAAATTCAATACAAAAAAAAAACATTTATTTGAAATAAAAACCTTTTGTAAAATTATAAATGTGTTTACTGTAAATTTTTATTAATTTAATGCGTCCCTGCTTAACCAAAGTATTAATTTATTTTGAACAAAGAAATTGTAATCGAATATTATATAATTCATTATACTTTTATATACAAATAAAAGTAACTGCATGCTACTTTCAAAAAGTCAAACAACAGAAAAAAAATACAAGAAACAAAAACACAAAAATGTAAAGAAATTAACAAAAATGTTTACACAATTTTTTTTATTGCACTTTATCACAGTGACAGGCAATGACGTGCAAGTAAACATGGTCATTGATGTCTGCTTCCTGTGTTATAATAAGGCATTCTGACACCTGCACCACAACAATTTGTGATCTTTATATCAGGAAGATCTTGCATTACTGGTTTTTCTAGAGTATCTCTCTAGTGGAAAACGGTTTCATGATCACTGCTTGGATAGTGTCTTACCTTTGTGGCGAAATCTGGTGGAAGTGTTTTGGCTCCAGTGAGTCGTTTCACAAGAAACGCTTTCCAGTTAGAATACTTATGGTGGATGGCTATAAAAACAAGTTATATATATATATATATATATATATATATAAAAATTATATATTAAAAAATATATAAAAATGTATAATTACTTCTATGCAGCAACGGCGACTTCACACTACTTTAACAGTAAAGAAATCAGCAAATTACGTAGTTTTGATTGGCTTAATGTTTCACATACATTTCGGAGGCACCAGTGGCTTTCCACTAGTGGCACACCATCCAACAGGGTGGATTTCTGGGATACACAGATTACACCAGAAGTCTTTGCTTGAGTCGTTATCAAAACCCTCATAGTGCAGAAGAGCTTTAAAACCTGAGAAATGATGAAAATAAATAATATATGATACCTTTTTCAGTTATAATACTTGAAAGATTCTTAACAGAAAAAAACCTTGGCAGTCATTAAACTACAACATTACCTGCCAGTTTGACAATCCCTGCTACCCAGTAAACTTTTGTGGAGAGGTTTGTGTCAGAATTGATGACCTCCACCCTCATCCCCTCTGCTATGTCACCCCAGCACATACCCATGGGCACCTGAAGAGTGATCAAGTTACAAAGTCAAAATATTAAACAAAAAACAATGTTCTGCCAATCTCTGCCTGTACTCACATGTTTGAAACAGCTGACTGGTGCCCCAACAAGATTATTGCTACAAATGTACTGGCCCCAGTCAAAACCTTCAACAGGTACCACTACATGAGCAAAAGAACAAATGATGCTGTGGTTAAGTGATGTGACAACAGATTATTAATCAATTAGGAATACAATTACATAATGACACTTTAAACCTGGATATTTACCTGATTTTGATTTAGCTTGGTTCTGTTGATTTGCTTGATACTGTGCGTAAGCTGCCAACTTTGCCATTAATGGCTGTTTCTGTAAGACTTTTGCCTTTTTCGTAGGTGGTTTACCCTTAATAGGACACAAGAAGAATACATACATTGAACAACAATAAAGGTAGTGTTTTGATTAGGAGTGCTTCTTAAGTCCATGAGTAGTTACCTGAAGTCTTGCCAGTATACTGGCCTTTTTAGAATTGGAGGAATAGCTTCTAGAGCAGGATACACTGCAGAATCTCTTTGTTTTAGAGTAGAAAGCATACTTATGGTGGATGGCTATAAAAACAAGTTATATATATATATATATATATATATATATAAAAATTATATATTAAAAAATATATAAAAATGTATAATTACTTCTATGCAGCAACGGCGACTTCACACTACTTTAACAGTAAAGAAATCAGCAAATTACGTAGTTTTGATTGGCTTAATGTTTCACATACATTTCGGAGGCACCAGTGGCTTTCCACTAGTGGCACACCATCCAACAGGGTGGATTTCTGGGATACACAGATTACACCAGAAGTCTTTGCTTGAGTCGTTATCAAAACCCTCATAGTGCAGAAGAGCTTTAAAACCTGAGAAATGATGAAAATAAATAATATATGATACCTTTTTCAGTTATAATACTTGAAAGATTCTTAACAGAAAAAAACCTTGGCAGTCATTAAACTACAACATTACCTGCCAGTTTGACAATCCCTGCTACCCAGTAAACTTTTGTGGAGAGGTTTGTGTCAGAATTGAGGACCTCCACCCTCACCCCCTCTGCTATGTCACCCCAGCACATACCCATGGGCACCTGGAGAGTGATCAAGTAACAAACAGTATTTATACAAATAAAAAAAAGTCAATATATTAAATACAAAAACAATTATGTTCCGTCAACCTCTACCTGTACTTACATGTTTGAAACAGCTGACTGGTGCACCAACAAGATTATTGCTACAAATGTACTGGCCCCAGTCAAAACCTTCAACAGGTACCACTACATGAGCAAAAGAACAAATGATGCTGTGGTTAAGTGATGTGACAACAGATTATTAATCAATTAGGAATACAATTACATAATGACACTTTAAACCTGGATATTTACCTGATTTTGATTTAGCTTGGTTCTGTTGATTTGCTTGATACTGTGCGTAAGCTGCCAACTTTGCCATTAATGGCTGTTTCTGTAAGACTTTTGCCTTTTTCGTAGGTGGTTTACCCTTAATAGGACACAAGAAGAATACATACATTGAACAACAATAAAGGTAGTGTTTTGATTAGGAGTGCTTCTTAAGTCCATGAGTAGTTACCTGAAGTCTTGCCAGTATACTGGCCTTTTTAGAATTGGAGGAATAGCTTCTAGAGCAGGATACACTGCAGAATCTCTTTGTTTTAGAGTAGAAAGCATCTCGTACACCAACCATACCACACATCTCACAGGTTGCTGCATGAAAAAAAACACAATCATTAATCATATATTCACACTATTGAACAAGTAATTCACTGAAATTTTGGCAACCAAAAATTTTCAGCTCAAACCAACTGAAACCGGCCATTTTTGGAGGGCTAAAATAATTGTCCGAAACGGTGATGTTTAATTCACGTTTTTCCTAATTGCACGTTTCGGAGTCTATATTTGTGCACACAATGTGGTTAAACTACAACAGGTACACATCTGTGTGGACCCTAGTGCAGGATTAACAATACTGATTTCTCCTTACTCGATACTGATACGTATTTCTAAATCTCAAGATCAATCTTTTCGTCTAGGCTGTTTTCTGTTGACGCGTGAACTTTATTAAATATTATTTGTAGTGCACCTGCCATCCAATAACTGCGATAAGATTTGTGCTTTAGTATGAAACAGTCTCTGCTTTCAAATTCTGTTGATTTAATAATAAAAAAAAAAAACATTAAATTCAAACAATAAATGAGTCTCTTTAATGTGGCGTAACAGATTGCTGTAGCCACCTCAGTTCAAGTGGCACATGAACTGACCAAGTGCATCCTGAATTTTCAGCTTCAGCCCAGAATTTTTATTTCAGTGCATCGTTATATTGAACAATTATCCTAGATGAAATGCAAACCATAATGATACTTTTTTGTTAGGTAGGAGATTAATAGGGTATTAAACTGTTTTTCATTAGAAATTATATTAAAATTTATTCAATGTATAAAATTTCAATGAGCAAAAAGTTGACCTGATATTATTTTAGTAAAAATCATAATACTTTCTGTTTATTTCCAGGTTTAAATTAAAAATAAAAAAAACATTTTGTGTACTCAGACTTTTGGACCCCACTATACATTAAATTACGAACCCATTCCTGCTTTTCCATCAGGATAGGTGTACACTTGGCCATTGTTCTTGATGATTGGCAGGCTGGCGGGGATGCTGGGGACTTCATCCTCACTGTCCTCTGAGCTGGAGCTGCTACTGCTGTCTTCACTGCAGCTGTCATACCCGTCAAACATCCCGAACGAATCTCTCCTCTTCCGCTCTGAGCGGGGAGTGTGCTCAGCCTACGCATGACGAGAGGAGTGAAAAATGTGGAGAAATTAAAAAAAGAAAGAAGTAACGTCAAATTAATGGAAGAGCAAAGAAAGACAAGGATTAAGGCTCACTTAGATACCACTAATACTTCAATAAATTATTACCTTTGACATAATACAGCAGCCTGATAAATATTTCAGTCAGTGATAACCATAATCTTTATATTAGTTCATCAATGCTTTAATGAGCTGGGAATTAGGAAGCAGACTATATCACATGAATAAAATTGAAGGTTCTCATGGGTCACAAAAAAAAGCAAATATCATATAAAAAGGGTCAATATCATCAGCACCCAATATCCCCACAGCACATTTCAAGACAAGAGACAGCCAAAGCAAAAGAATCTAATTTAATATTTCCAATGACATCTGCTGTATTTTCAGGTTCTACATATTTATATTTTTCAACATTGAATCACCAGACTGGTGGATCAGACATGGATTTGTCCAAACCACTGTGACCTGATTTCAGAATGAACTTCAGACCCTTTTCTCCATCTGAACGCATGCCATTTCCATTACCACCTGCTAAAATACCATTTTACTAAAATCTACACATTTTATATCCCCATAACCCACCATAAAGTGATTTTTAGGTCATATCACAACACAAACTTACATATATGCTGTGCCTGAAAACCTAGAGAGCTTTCTACATAGAACGTTTTCAGAAAACGTGCTTAACGCGTTTAAGATCCCCATAAATACTGTCTACTAACTATGTTTTGAGACACAACCGCAAACACAAACATTTACACACACATGGGCCTGCGGGTATATTTCACATACACAAAACACATACATTATCAGTTGTATTTGCATCATTTAGTGAGACAGCTAGTTTGAATAAGCGGTTACATAACATAGAGAGTATTACGAATGAGGTAAATGTTGTAGTTTGTGTGACGAGCAGGATCTATTTCTGAAAACCAAAACAAAGAGGACGGCTAACACTGCTAGCCGCTAACTGCGCTAAATCAAGGAAGCGGGCTCAAATAAATTCTTTCTTACCATATCCCTTGGGTTTTCCATTAGCCCTTCATGCAAGTCGGTATATTATGTTCGTTGTGGTATGGTCCAAGAGCCCCCCTGGGGGAAAGGGCTTAGCTTGGAATTATTTTACTCTAAAGGAAAAAAATAACTCCAGTTGATTATCAACAATTGTCATGGCTCAAGTGCGCGTGCGCGTGGATCTAGAATGATTGACATGGATATTAGCCAATCACGGTTCACCTGTTCTTCACCTTTACACCATATAAGGTAATAGGAAATGTTTTAGTGAGGAAATGTTTTGGTGAATAATTACAGATCAAATAAATACCGACTTTGTAGTGCCATAGCAGATTTATTGACTATAACTATTAAATATAACGTGTCTACGGTCATAACTTCATGGTAATAGAAAATGACAGGATGAGATGATGGATGGGGTGATAAATGTTTGGATGTGTGGCCAGCTTAGCAAATAGGATAGTGAATAGTTGAGTGAGATGTGCTGTTGTAGTCCTATTATAAAATTTTTTTTTAATAATAATTAGTATATAAATAAAATAAATAGTATTTTTGATTAAATCTAACTACACCTCATAACATTCAAATATTTTTATTTTCAATCAGTAATCTTGTATATGAAGTTGACTGCCTTAGTTATGGATTAAGCATTACATTTTTACTAAATTATTTGCTGCTTCTCACAATTGTATTGCTTGGTTTGCCTTCTTTAAATATAATGGAAGAGATATTATCTATTTCCATTTCCATGTTTTCAGTCATTGTTGTTATCTCCTGGTTATTTCAACCATTTTCACATAACATCGTACATATTTTATAACAACCTTTGAATAATTCTATTATTATTATTAAAAACAGTGTTCGTCCATTTTATCGTAGAACAATGATCCAAAAACAATTGAAGGACTGTTCACTCAACTGGCTAAAACAAGTCATTAAAATATATGGGGTATAATAATAGTCTTTATTTGATTGTATACACATATATACCATAGCATTCAATGTAATAAATCTCAACTCACAACATAAATAACTTGACAAAGAAAATGAGAAACAGAATACAAACAGTACAAAAAAAAAAAAGATCCATCAACATAAACTGAACCATCATATCACTGCTAAACACAACCCAAATGAACTTTGGTGCTACACTGCAACAATACTGAGGTTTCGAACTAACTCAATCATGAGTTCCCTGAGCTCTGCTCTTTAACTGTCTTTCATCTGTTCTTCAGACGAGCAACGCAATGCAAAGAATGACTGACATAACGTTATATTTGTAAATGAGATGAACACAATGAGAACAGTAAACAGTAAAAATAAACCATCAAATGTCTTCCAGATGTCCAGAAAAGCTCAGACAAGATACAAACTGTGAATATCATTCCATAAATGAGAGAACTTATGCAGTAAATACAGGCAGTCTGAGCGGGTGGCGTAATCAAGTAAGGCTCTTTTTCAGAGATAGGAAGCATGTGTCGAATGCTAAATGAGGATAACAACTGGTCTCTGGGGAGGAGAATACAGCGAGAGTGACATAATTAAATCAATCATCTGGTCTTAAATGGGATATTATATACAGGAGCACCCAAACTATATATAATATGAGATTATACTGATGTTTGCTTACCAATATCAAGGCATACATGTCTTTGGTCTTTTGTCAGTTGAATTCCTCATCAAGAGTGTCATCCAAACTTCCAGAAATTGAGGCAACTTCTGAAAAAAGGACGTTCAACAGGGCAAAACTGATATATATCATATAAAGGACACAATCCAAGAACATTTTACTCCTAAATTTAAAGGTGCTAGACGCTTTTAAGACATTTTAAGGTTGCCTGACCTATAACAGACTAAAAATAGGCCTTTGCATGAAAATAAAAATCAAACAAATCCTAGGGGAAAAATTGAATGAAACCCTGCTGCTAATAATAATTGTTGGCTAAAACTACATCTTTTAAAAAATCTTTTTCATAAATTGAAATAAAGCTAAAATAAAATATAAATTAGAAAAAATATAAAATTAGAAATGTTGCTTAATAGGCAACTTGACTATAAATAAATTTAAGATGAAGCATCATATAGAAACATAATATAAAAACATTTTAAAAAAATACAATAAAAGTAATAAATAATTTTAAAAAATATAAAAATGATAAAGCACAACAAAATGACAAACTCGAAAATATAAAAATTAAAGTTAATTTAAAATATTAATTCTATATTCATATTTATATAGTATATTAATACAATATTTAATATATAGCAACACTGCTAACACTACTACTAATACATTTTATTTGTATACCATAATCCATTAGGGCTGGGCGATTTCCCCGATTTTATCGATTAATTCGAATTTATTGTTTTGCCACGATTTTATTTGTTAGAAATCGAGGAATCGCGATTTTGAATAGAAATATTACCAAATGTTAGAATTAGACACTTTGACAATATGACGGTGATAACCGTAAAGAGAATAGAATGATCCAACATGCAAGAAGATGGGAGTTAACTTATTTTAACTTGAGCGCAGTGTTTTTAGAATGGCGTTTCATGCGTGAGACACTGGAAGAGACGCGAGCGTAACAGTCAAACACATCCATGTTTACACAGAACAAACAATGGAAAAGCAGCGCAATCAAATAAAAAAACCTGTGAAGAACTACTACTGTATGTCTGATATTTCATGTCTGCATCACGGTGACAGACCGGAAGCTGCTGTTCATTGTTTTTACAGAGCATTTAAAGTTAATAATAGGCACTGGTTAATAATGTAGACACTGGTGTTATACCTTAAGTCATTTTTTAAATTTGAATTACCTTGACTTTTGAGAATTTTTTTAAGCATTTTCCTCGTATTATTTCTGAACATATGTATAAGACAAGTTTGTATAATTAGTTGTAGTTCATGCATCTTTTCTGCAAAAATATTTAAAGGGGTCATATCATTCGATTTCAAGTTTTCCTTTCTCTTTGGAGTGTTACAAGCTCTTGGTGCATATTTACGAAGATATTTAACAAGTGATTTGTTTAACATTTACACCATGTTGACAACTTCATGTGTGCTGCACTTGGAATAGAATTTTCTTTAACTAGAGGGTTAATAAAGAAAAAGTAACTTGAATCATGTTGTAGTTACACTTTCAAGTTGACTAGTTAAAAAAAAAATAAAAATAAATAAAAAATCGAGAATCGATCAAACATTCTGGAAAAATCGAGATTGTAATTTTCTGCAAAATCGCCCAGCCTTATAATCCATAAAGAAAAAATGAAAATTTAAAAAAAGTCATAAGAAGCAGCTTGTCTAATTTAAATAGTTAAAAGTTTCCAGAATTTTGGGCCATAATTACATTAATAACTTAGATATTTAGAGTTACGTTTTTTTGAAAACCCTTCACCTTAAATGAGCACCAGTAATAAAATGGAAAGCATCTCTCCCACTGAAGCTTAAACCCACGTGAAGTGTAAAGTTGTAGCAAGATGTATTAAAGCCCTTCAGTGAAAACCAGTCACATCCCAGAGATCCAATGTGCTCCAGTGTGTCGTTAAGCTATATATAAAAGCTACACCTCTTGAATTGTCTTCACCACTGTTGACTGTTTCAGTTTTGAAATCCATGTTCTTTAGTTCCTGAAAATCTTGTCCTCTTCCTTCAGTTGCACTTCCTGCTTCATTATGTAGCATTTCATCCCACAAGCTTGACTTCTGGCATTTCACATCACTTTTTAGTGGGTTTGGTTCATCTAAATTTCCTTCTGTAAAGGACTTATGTTTACGCTCTTCAGAAGTGTTAATTAGGTCACTTCCACAGCTGCTACTGTCACTCAGAGTGATGACCTCTGGATTCGGGTGTGGATGAGCCCGATTAGCTGGTCTGAGTGGCATTTCAGCATCTTCAGCACTCCTGGATGAATCTGAACTCAGTTCAATCACGGAGCCAGAGGAAGCAGCGGTTTCATCACAAGATTCTGTCAAATAAGATGATGATGTAGTGGACGACTGAGGCATGGTGGTGCTGAGAGATGCTTCAGAGGAGTCCCTAGAGGAAGTGAGGTAATACCACACTCCTCTGATGCCATCACTGCTGTTGCTGCTCTCTTTATTTCCACTGGAACTGTCCACCGTACAAGATGAACCCGTCTCTTCTAATGCAGATGTCATCTTATTCTTCCTGCTGTAAGAGTTCATCCCAAGGAAAACGTCATTACTAAGAGTGAAGGAATCCAGCGCTGATGTCACGTGTAATGGTGATGCAGGGGTTAAGTTATTTGATTGGATTGGTGGGTCTAGCATGGAGGAAGACAATTCAAGTATTTGGCTGACCAGATCACTGGATTGGATTAAGGAAGAGGAAGACATGAGTCCAAAACACAGGCTCTGGTCCACGTCTGCTCGCTCCATCTCCAAAGAGCATGTGAGAGATGAAAATCATTCCAGCTGCTTGCTTATCCATGGATATGCTGTACCTTCAAATACGCCATCCCGAGGACTGGTTAAACTCTGCTGAACTGAAATACATTACTTTTCAAATGTTGGGGGTTGGTAAGATTTTTTCTTTTTTGTTTTTGAAAGAAACAAATACATACAGTAAAACAGAAATATTGTGAAATATTATTACAATTTAAAATAACTGTCTTCTATTTTATTATATTGTGAAATGTAATTTATTTTTTATAGCAATGCTGAATTTTCAGCAGCCATTACTCCACTCCATTGATAAGTGTCAATCATTCTAATATGCTGATTTGGTGCTCACAAAACATTTCTTATTATCAACAATGTTGAAAACTTGCTTAATAGTCTTGTGAAAACTGTGATGATTTTTCAAGATTCTTTGGTGAATAGAAAAAGTTCAAAGAACTGCATTTATTTGAAATATAAATATTTTGTAACATAAATGTCTTTTTTTCTTTTATTGTCACTTTTAATGTGTCCTTGCTAAATAAAAATATAATTTAAAAAATGTACTATCCCCAAGGTTTTTAACAGCGTATGTGGCAGAATGTAAGCATGTGATGCATGCAGAATTTTGAAGAAAATGTTTAAATAATTATAAATTGCATGAACAAGGAAGTTAAAGCGTCTCAATTCATTTCTTCATTTCTGAGGAACCACCCTGAGAAAACGTACCTGACAAACTGATACAGGACATACTGAGTTCTGATGTTGCTCCGGTCATGTCGTCCTGTACAAAAATTAAACAATGATTCTCCTAGTGCTGCTTCCACCTGTAATACACTGTATAACACAATTCATATGCATCTTACCAGCATCTTCTGCAGTTGTCTGGACTCATCCCAGTCTCCCCTCAGCCCAATCCCTTCATCCTCACAGCTCACAGCATGACCGAGACGAATCAACTCTTTACCGAGATCCAGAGCCTGAGACAGAGATGACAGACCATAGAGGATTAAAAACAAAACAAACTTTTACAATTTCAGAAGGAAATGTGAGTGATGCCTGTCCAAGCAACTCTCGCCACCACAATGTCAGTGTCGCTCAGTATTTTTTAGGGTGATTTGGATGGGTGCTAGACCCTAGATGTTCAGAGCGGTTGTTATATCATTGCAATTCTCAGAGCAATTCTGCTAGATTTCTGCTAAAGAGCACATGAATGTGTAGATTAGCTTTACGATTAAGCAGGGTTCAGAACAGTTTTGTTATTATTAATGAGATCTATTTCAAATAACAAAAATATTTTATTGGTTTAAAAAAATGTAGTTTTAATATTAATAAAATAAAAATATTAAATACCTGAAATAAACTTAAGCTGAAGTACTGAAAAGATTTAAACTAAAGTAAACTTTTCAAAACTAATAAAAATGGCAAATAATACAATTACTAAAAATTAAACAAATTAAATGAAAAACTGAAAATATAAAAATATAAGCTAATTCAAAATATAAATCAAAACTAATAATAGTATATAAATAATACCAAAACACTGTTTCAGAAGAGGTAACCTATGAGTTGCACATTACAATGCTTTAAACAGTAGAGCATGGAACTAGCAACGCCAAGGTCATGGGTTTGATACCCAGGAAATTTACTGATAAAATGTATACCTTTAAGTCACTTTGGATAAAAGTGTCAACTAAGTGCAAAAAGTTAAATGTGATATAATATAAAATATTCCCGATTGAAGTGCCTGTCAACATGGTCAGAATTTATACCACAACTGCAAAATTCAAAAGTGAGTTGTGAACTCTAACCTTTCCCTGGCTGTTGTCATGGAGTTTCACATTGGGCCAGGATGAGATCTCAGAATGAGAATAGCTGTACAATTTGGCCAGTAAAGGTTTCCATTCAGCACAGTATATTATGCGTTCAAAATCATCCAGGGCTGCCTCAGTCCAAACCTCTCCTAAAACAAACATAACATTTTTACTTTATTCTTTTGAAATTATACAAAAATTATATTTCACTGATAAACACCTGAACATCACTCTTTACCTGCTGGACGAACCCCAGCTAGGCTGCACTCAATGGCTTGGAAGGGCAGGCTCAGGAAGTCACTTCTAAACGCCACAAAATAATATACCATCAGAATGAGTATCGTATACACACCACACCTAAAATGCATCTGCGTTTATTCATAGAAGGTAAAACACAATAATCAAGAGCCCAATAAGCATATAAATAGCTGATTCTGCGTTCTCCATCTCTTATTTACCTCATGCTTCGTAAATGTTCCCGTGGAAGCTCCCCGTTGTCCCCAAAGTCCACGTAATACAAATCCACCAGGCCAGAGCCCAGAATTCCCAACACTCGAGCACGATTCCACGTGCCATGGTCCCTGTATGAAGCAGCCACTATGTCTCCAACAATAATGGTCTCCACTCTGTGCTCCTGGGGTAGGAGTAGAAATAATTATTTACTACTAATATAGAAGAAATAGTTTACTCATTTATTAGGGTCGTGGATCCTAAATCAAGTGGGGTCAAGCAATCTTACTTGTGAGGTATCACTGTTGTAGAAACGGCTCATTTCAGCCGTCAGTTTATCCAGCTGTAGAGATCGGACCCCTAGGATCTGGATCCAAAAGTGCTGAGGATTCTCAGAGGCAGACACATACACCTCCAGATGCTCATCGGGCTGGAAGCTCAGGTCTGGACTAGGAACTGGTTAGAAAAGACTAATTATTAGTTATTTGGTCTTCTACGAGAGACTGAAAATGATTCCTGGGTGGGGCTGAACAGTTCGAGGGAAGAAAAAGTAAAACTGCAATTTTTCTGATATAAATTGTGCAGTTTAAAATTATTATTTTTTTAAAAGCTCCAGGGGCCGCTTGCACCAGCTGGACGTACAACCGGTTGTAAGACTAGGCTGGACGTAAAATGTGCTTTAAGTCATGCGTAGAATTTATACCTGTTGCACCATCTCGGCGTAGTGCTACATCTGAGACTAAATCTTACACCTAGTCAGAGGTAGGTGTAAAGTGAAAAGTCATGATTTGCTCGGACATTATTAGTTTTTAGGATTCATGTCTGTTAGTTAATTATTACTGCAGACGTGAACTGTAATGTTTATGGTCTTTTCGCGCAGGATAAGCGATATCAATCACGGATCTCGGTGTAGACTATACCACACTGCCAACAGTAATTGACCTAATCAAAACTATATTTCTGTACAGCATGTAATTATGCAGTAAAATATTACATATGATCTGGGATTATTAAAAGAAACTGTACCATTCGACATCTTGCTTGGAAGGACGTTATAAATTCTTGTAAATATTTCACGTCTTTAATTAAATTCATTATTTGTAGCGTGCCTGCCATCCAATAATCGCAGTAAGTTTTGTGCTTTGTTACTTTTAATTACAAATAAAGTATCAGCATTCTGCCAGTTTTATCACAAAATACAAACTATAAATGTGGTTTTTTCAGCCACAGTAAGACGTCAGTAAAACTATGTCACGTAAAGTCACATTTACCTCAGGAAAGACATTCATTGTACATAAACTACATAGTCAGCTAGAAAAAAATAACTTTAGATAGAAGCATTGTATTACATTCATTATATTTTACCCAACCTGCTGCCTTCATTTTTAATTTTCGTTTGAAGAAATCTGTCGTGGGAATGTGCAGGGAGACTTCAGATATAAAAAAAACGCGACTTGTTAGAAAATGTTTACTCAATAAAATCATGGCGCGGTGACTTAACTTGTTATGATGTCTTGAGCAATTCAGTTTTATATTAGTAGTTGTAGCCAGGGTGCGAACTACGGGGGAGCTAGGCTCCCTTAATAAGACATGGGCTCCCCTGAAAACGTGATTTGTGAAATTTTGGGGGGGGGGGTCTCATGCGGTGCAAATTCCATGTTTAGTACATGTTAACTCAAAGATTCGTAGAAAAAATATAAACGCTGGACTCTGTGGTCGATTCTGTGTTAAGGTAAGGCATGTTATTCGCAATTATGTGTTGTGGCTGGGTTGTTATAGGTCTGCGTGACTCTCGATGTCTTAGGCCTAATTGAACGGAGGAATTATGGTATTCTTCTGTAGCCTGACGTCGAGTAACTTTAACCGTTGTTCATGTGAACTCAAAGACAGCCTGATGCTTTGTTTATAGACTATTTGTGGGTGGCTGTTTGTTGTTTCACCTATCAATTCGTGTCGATAAAGTATAATAGGGTAAATCCTGTATAGTGATTTATCCTATATAGTGCTTGCATAAAGCAAGTAGTGCATACACTTGTAGCTGTTATGTATCTTTGTCACTGTATCAAAGTCATTGTAAGCCCTCTTTTGAGGCACGCGCAAGTGCACGAACCCCCCGTTATAAAAAAAAAACAAGTGGGCTCCCCCAAAGTCCACGGTATAGTTCGAACACTGGTTGTAGCCATTGCAGTGTGAATGTCGTCTCAGTCATCACTGCGGGAGAACGTGTCAGCATGTCTACGCCGGGCGTAGTTGCGACTGATCGTAGTTTCAGTTGGTGCAACAGATGTAAATATTTATCGTAAAGCTGGACGTTGCAAAGCCCAGTGTAGGATTTACACCCAAATTTTTTACGTCTAGCTGGTGCAACCGGCCCCTGGTCTGTAGGGCTGCACAATTTGGCCCCCCCAAAATCATAATGTGATTATATATCAATATGACAATTTTTGCCATTTTATTATTACATCTTTTATTATTAAATAAAAATATTAAACAATAAATATTTTTATTATATAGTAATATTTGGGTAACACCTTACAATAAGGTTAATTAGTTAACATTAGGAATGAACACTTC